TATAATATACTATAAAAAATATATATATAAATTTTTATAGAAAAATATTAAGGTTTTACTTAGTTATTTAAGAAAAACTTATAGATTCTTATTAATTTTTCTTACTAAGAAATTATAGAAGGTTTAATAATATAAAAAGTTTAATAATAAAGTATATTATACTAACTATAAACTATAAACTTAAAAAAACTAATTTTAAAAGTAGATTTAACTATTTATTCTTAAGTTATTTAAAGAATATTAAAAAAGTACTAAAAAGTTATAATACTAATAAAACTATAACTAGTAAGTTTTTTTAAAATTTTATTTTATAATATTAAATTTTATACTATATAAAACTTATATTCTAAGTTTTATTAGTATAGCTCTATTAGTTATAGAGTTAGGGGGGGTAAGATTTTCTAGAAACTGTGCGCCAGGTGGGGACGTGCGCCAGGTGGGGAAACCCAGTAAAGCGTTGTTAAAGGCGGTCGTATGGGACGATAAAATCGCGCGCCAGCTTGCTTAAATTTAGCTTAATTTAGCCATTAGTATGCTCTAAAGCCTTCTAAATACGCTCCTCCACGTCGTCGTACGCGCCATATCTGCCTGCCATTACGTTGTGTGGAAAAATCGCGTGTCAAATATGGTGAGGGGATGAAATTTGGCGTTGAGCTGGTCTTTGGCGTTGAGCTGTCCAGGGCCAAGGGGTGGAACCCCTTGGCGCGTTGGGCAAGTACACCACCAATATACACCCAATGGAGGCTGCCCTAGAGTCGTTAAAATCGCTGAAGCTTGGAGAGAAGCCTAATTACACTCAGACTACGGTCCGGAAACCGTGCACCAGGTGGTGACCCACGGTAGTGGAATGCACCAAAATTAAGCAAGATCGACTCGAGAAGCCAAGGTACGACAATTACAGATTCGAGATTTTCCGCAGAGCAGCGATGGGAACATATCCTGAGCAATTCTTTGTTGTCCTGCATGCAGGACTCCGATTCGATGCCCTTAAGTATTGCCAATCCCAGCCATTGCGATAGAAGTATTCGAATATCCTGTTGCCTTTCGGCCCTCTAGCTCACACATATCTCGCACTTTTTTCTTCTTCAATTCTCCGCCAGCCTTCATAGACTCATGGAGTAGGAGGTCGTACACAAGCACAGGATTAGCAGATTAGAGTGCGCTAGAAGCAGTGCCTTACGTACCGTTAAGAACACACGTACACCGCACTGATTACATATGAATCTTTGCTGCTGTCGCTCTTGCGGTTAGCACCGCCTTTTCTTGTCATGCCCATTGTCGCAGTCGACGGGAGGTTGGAGAGCAAAAGGAGCTCTAGAGGCATTCTGCGTGGCGGTAAACAGTGAAACAGATGATGTGAATGTATAACCCGGTCATCTCTGCTGCGTTTTGCCAAATGACGACGCCGCGATAGAAGCGCAGCGCGTTGCCGTTTTGGGCCTGCGCTATGTCAGCAGCTTAGTCACCAACACCAGCCAAGGCGGCCCCACTAGCAGGTGCCGTTGCAACTATCCTCCACAGCACGGGCTGTTCCTCTTCCCCTTCCCAATATCATCGAATAAAGCTCCCCATTTTGCGCTATCAAGCGTGAGACATTACTCGCTCAGTTGCGCGACCTCTACCTCTCTCCCTGAACGCCGGACTTGCCTCGACACCTGCGGCCTCACCCCCTCTAACCTGGCAGCTGCCCACACGCTGCTAGTATGTCGTGGAAGCTGACTAAGAGTACGCTATTGCTTGTGCAAGCCTGGAGATTCCTCAACTAATTGTTGGCAGAGCTCAAGGACACGCATCTGGCACCGTTCGCTGACACTTTTACTCGCTCGTCTGCATCTACAACTGTTGGAGGCTCTCCTCAGCTCAAGCCGAGCATCTCGGGCTCGATTTTGAATGACCTAAAGGGCCCGAATAGCATAGGTACGATGGGCATGTAGTCTACTGTGACCTGGCCTAAACGCTAACCAGCTATTTCTAGCCGCATCAGAAGAAAACGTCAACCCGCCCCAACCTTCGACCAAGCCCGGCATTCTTATCGTCACCCTCCACGAGGGCAGGGGCTTTTCACTACCACCGGGTTCAGAAAAGCTCTTTAACGTCCCACGATATGGTAGCTCACATTCGACTGGTGGCGACTACAACTCCTCGAACCGACCAGAGTCGCGGGGACAGATAGCAGGCTCCTACGCTTCAGGACGGCCACATTCCTCAACCAACGCAATCAACAACGCCCCCACAGTCAACGGCCGCCGTTACTCGTCAAAATACTTGCCTTACGCCCTCCTCGACTTCGATAAGCAGCAAGTCTTTATCAATGCCGTCTCAGGCACCCCGGAAAACCCGGTCTGGGCTGGCAACAATACGCAGTACAAATTCGATGTCTCGAGAGCGACGGACCTCTTCTTGTCGCTTTACATTCGCAACCTAACTGCAGCTCCGAAAGTTGGTCGCAGCGAGGACATCTTTATTGGTACAGTTACTGTCAAGCCTAGGTTTGAGGAAGTGAGGGCTTATAATGACGCCGGGAAAAATAAGAACAAAGGCGGAGAGCAGGAGGACTCCTTCGGCCAGCCTGGTACTGAGTGGCTTGACATCAGCTACGGAACCGGCAAGATTGGAGTAGGCGTAGAGTTTGTGGAGGCCCGACAGCAGTCGTTGTCGATTGACGATTTTGAGTTGCTTAAAGTTGTCGGTAGAGGTAGCTATGGCAAGGTCTTGCAAGTTCGGTAAGTGCTATGTCGCGAGAATTACCGCTGATTTACTAACCTTAACCAGGAAGCGCGACACCGGTCGTATCTACGCTCTCAAGACGATCCGCAAGGCTAATATCATCTCACGCTCCGAAGTCGCCCATACCCTAGCTGAGCGCTCAGTATTGGCGCAGATTAACAACCCCTTTATTGTGCCCCTCAAGTTCTCGTTTCAGTCACCAGAGAAGCTCTATTTCGTCCTCGCGTTTGTAAACGGCGGGGAGCTTTTCTACCACCTGAAAAAGGAGCAGACTTTTAGTGTGAATAGAGCCAGGTTCTACACTGCAGAACTGCTCTGCGCACTAGAATGCCTGCACGGATTTAATGTCATATACCGCGACCTGAAGCCCGAAAACATATTGCTCGATTACACTGGGCACATTGCGCTCTGCGACTTTGGCTTATGCAAGCTCAACATGGGCGAGGGCGAAAGGACAAACAGTAGGCTTCACTTCTTCAGTACATATTTAGTAACTTTGAGCTAACGTTTGCCTAGCTTTCTGCGGTACTCCAGAGTATCTTGCTCCAGAGCTTCTCCTCAACGGCGGCTACGACAAGACAGTTGACTGGTGGACCCTTGGCGTGCTCCTATATGAGATGTTAACCGGACTTCCTCCCTACTACGATGAGAATACCAACGAAATGTACCGCAAAATTCTCCACGAGCCGCTACACTTCCACCTAGTCCCACCAGCTGCGCGCGATCTTTTAGCACGTCTACTTGATCGCGATCCCAAGCGGAGACTGGGTGTCAATGAGGCTGCCGAGATTAAGGCGCACTACTTCTTCCACGGCATCGACTGGCGAAAGCTGCTGGATCGCAAGTATGAGCCGAGCTTCAAGCCTAACGTGACGGACGCCCGCGACACGGCAAACTTCGACGACGAGTTCACATCAGAGCCCCCGACCGACTCTTATGTCGCCGGCCCGATGCTCTCACAGACCATGCAGCAACAGTTTGCAGGCTGGAGCTACAACCGCCCAGTCGCCGGTTTAGGGGATGCAGGCGGCAGCGTCACGGACCCAAGCTTTGAAGAGTCGGTGCAATAGACTTGCACAGGAACAGGAGTGCGGCTTTACTAGTGTTGGCCTTAGGAGTGGATGATCTAGTTCTAGATTGCACAAGGGATGGGCTCTATCGGCAAATAGAGAAGCTGTCGCAATACTCGCAGCACGTGGCGAGGCATATGGTTGAAGATGTTGGTATGAAGAGCGTTAGCTGCCCCCATCCGTCTTGCGAGATGCACGGCTGTGAGAGGGACGAGCTACGTGAGCACTTTAGCAGTGTACATCACATTCCACTCACCCTACCATAGTCAATATAGCGAATTTCCCCGATGCATTAGCCGCTGAAGCACAGGCGCATGATTGGAGGCTCGTGTCCACGCTTTGGCGCCACCCTTGATTGGTTCGAGCCTGGTTCAATGCACAGACCACGGTTAACTTCAACCACCTTCCCAACCACCCGTTCGAGTCCCTCTTTTCACGAGTACTGCCACCGCCTCTGTCACCACTTAGCATATCACGTTCACCGCCTCACTTCACCATCACTGCTCGCGCAAACTCTCCTTCACCACAAGGCGAAATGACGCCAGCTACCGCTTCTCCCGTCATCCTCCATCTTCCCCCCCACCCCTCCGACTTCCACCTTCACGCCATCCAACACTACATACTCCGCCACGATGGTCGGCTGGCAGAGCTCACCCTTCTGGGCCCATATCGACATCTTCAACTTGCTAGGCATTAATCCCCACACCACCGATTTGACGTGGGAGATTGTAGATGCTCGCCCGCGACAGATTGTCAAGAAGTTGTGTCCGAACGACCCTGCTGTTATGCTTCCGGATGGGGTGTCCGTCGCGCTGATCAACGCCTTCCGCACTGAACTCTTCAACATGCTCTACCCTTCTGCTCAGCATGGCAAAGAACTCGGCGTAGGCGACGCGACTTCCCATTCCCGGAACAAGCTCGCCAAGGCTCTGGATGAGATTAACGGCGCGAAGCTCAACGGATATCGTCGGACATGGGACGCTGAGAATGGCGTACCTGGCAATTGGCTTGGTGCAGACATTAGTGACGGTGACGGCCTGGCGGGCTCTTCGGCTGCTCTGCTACCGCAGGGTTCCTCTACTGCAGCACAAACTGTGCAGGGTGAGCCTACGGGTACAGAGGACAATCCGATTCCGCTCGACGAAGCGGGCACTCACGACGACCCGATCAACCTTGACGGCGACAGCACTCCAGAGCCCGTCTCTATCGACAACGCCCAGGCTCTCGTCCTGCCAATGCACCAGCGAGACAAGTTCATGCAACTTACGAAGTTGGGGGCTACTCCAATGCATTTCAGATACGCCATCGCGCCTTCCCGACTTCGGGCGATGGCGAAGAGAAACACGAACAACAACAAGGCCGCAATAGTGGTTGGCGTTGTGAGGCGCCCGGACTGGAACGCGGCGCAGACCTTCCCTGAATATATATGCATAGCCTTGCTCGAAGGCGGCAACTCGTTGCGCATCAGAGTGAAGCGTTGCAGTATTGAAGGCGAGGAGCTCCCGAAGTGGCCTGGCGGAGGCTCGGTCTACATCTCGCTCGAGGAGATTGAGCAATACGGCTATCTCTTTAGGCCATTCTACGACTTCGACAGAGAGCGGCTTCGCAGGTATCTGATGGCGATGGAGGAGCAGGACAAGATGCCCAATGTTAGAGACAAGGCGGTAGTTTTGCGCGGCGGCTGAAGGAGTGACTTTGCAGGCGGGAAGCGAATACGGGTGTATGCACGGTTCTCGGCAGGAGTGGTCTCTGTAGGGTCAATAACCGGGAACTGTCTCTGGGGCTTTTAGAGTCTGATGGATCGAGGTACCGTACGACGCAAGCAGCTGGAACCAGGGTGGATGATACACTGTTTTGGATTGGAACAAATTTGGTTTAGCCGTTCATAGGGCCTCAATCCACCCAAACAACGGGCTAGACATTATCGAATATCATCCAGATCTGCTGCAATCTATGGGTGCTCAATATTGTGAGGCAATTAAGGTCATGGGTTGAATCTTGGTTCGTCGGCTGAGAGCTATACAAGCATGGTGTTGAGTTTTGATATTATTGGTTCGGTTAATCAGGCGGATCTATCGGAGCCGAGGATTACCTGACTAAACCTTAGATTAATTGTTAACTCAGCCGTACCTAGAACCTATTACCACCCTTCTGCTCGCTGCTAATAACTCTAAAATAATGCCGTAGAAGCTTATAAATATGCTCTTATAATATCTAACGTACTCTACTATCGAAAGCCCTACACTATCGAACTCCCCACGATTTCTTAGCAAGAAAAATTAACGAAAATTAACTTATTTTTCTTAAATAACTAAGCGAAAATTTAATATTTTTATATAAAAATTTATATATATATTCTCTATACTATATTATACCTTAGAGTAAAGTTATACTAAGATATATTACTTAATTAAAAAGCTATACGTATTTAACTAACTTTTAAAAAAAAACCTAGTTATCTTCTAGTAAATACTATTATATCTCTATAATAATCTATAAAACTTATAGAATATAAAATTTATAATATAATAAAGATTTCTAGAAAACTTCTATAAATTAAGCTCTTCTAGGTATAGTATAATAAGAAATAGAAGTTTAAAAATATCTTTTTAAAGTTTTTTTTTCTAACTATATATAGATATTAATAATCTAGCTATATAAAGCTATATATTATAAGCTTATATATATTATAAGATTTCTAGATATTTAGAAGTAATAATTTTAAGATAGTTTAAGTATAGTTCTATCTTTTTCTACTATACTATAAAAAGATTTTACTTTTAAATAACTACTTAAAGCTAGTATATTATTAGTTAATAAGCTTTATATAGTTTAAGTATACTATAATTTATAAAATAATAAGTTTATATAGCTAGATTAACTAATATATATATAGTTAGAAGAGTAAACTCTAAAAAAGAAATTCTTCTAACTTCTATCTCTTATTATGCTATACCTAGAAGAGCTAGATTTATAAAACTTTTTTAGAAATCTTTATTACGTTAACGTATTTTATAAGTAAGCTAGTTATATAAGTAAGCTAGTTACTTTTACTAAGCCTCTACTAATAATTATCTTAACTACTATAAGTCTATCTACTAATACTAAGTTATCTTCTTAAGAAGCTAGAATATAGCTTATAATTTAAGCTATCTAGACTAGCTAAATTTAAAGTAAGTAACGTGCTATAGTAATCTACTATATTCTTTTATTATTATTATAAACGTAACGTACTAGAATAATACTATAACGTAAAAAGATATCTAATTTAGTAAAACTTATAAAGAATAAGAAGTAGGTAATAGTTAACTATATACTTAATCTAGATACGTAAGAATTTACCTTTTAGCTTACTACTATTTAAGATATAGCTAATATACTACTTACTAAGTAGAGTAGAAAGATTATAGATAAGAACTAGCTAAATAACTTTATTATACGCTATTCTAAGCTTAAAACGTAGCTTAATTATAAGTATAACTATTAGAGAGTAAAGTAAGAAGATTCTATAATTATTTAGACGTAGTTTAACCTAGTAGATAATATAAAGATAAAGTATAGTATTACTAATAAAAATATATATAATTTTAATAAATCTAGCTTTATAATAAAAATAATATTATCTTAGATAGTAGTTACTAGCTCTAAGAGATAATCGCGACTAAAGAGTCTTTAACTAGATAATTACGAGTAGATTTTAGTAATTATAATAGTAAGAGTAGTAGATAATATATAGATTCTACTATTTCTTATTATTATAAATAAGAACTACTTCTTAGCGTAGTATAAAGATAGCTAGCTACTACGTAACTAGATTATAGCTATCTCTAAAAGTAGCTAGATAATAAATAAAGTTAGTATTGTATAGTTAAAGTACTTTAACGCGTATACTAAGAGTCGCGTTATAGATATATATTATCTACTAATTTTAGATAGCTATAAAAGCTATAGCTCTATTAAATTCTAGTAGTACTATAAAAAGAATAAAATTATAGTTTTTTATATACTAGTATAATTATTATATCTTTTATAGCTACTTAATATTAGCTACTTTTTACTATTAAAAGTAGTATATAGCTACTAAGTTAAGATTTTAATATATAGCTATATTAACTATATTATAAAAACTAAGTTTCTACTTATATTTTATATAGCTTTTTATACGTTAATTATAAATAATAATATTAGAATAGAATTTAGAAACGCTAGCTTAGTTTTATTTAATCTAGATTTAGTAGTATTAAAGCTTAAAGTTTAATTACGTATACTAATACTTTCTACTAATAATACTACTATCTAGAAGTATAAAATACGTAGTAATTCTACTAAATTAAAGTTATAATTAACTCTAATTTAAAAAAAAATTATATAGTATCTTAATTTATTACTAACTTATATTATTAAGTTACTTAATTAGCTTAAAAAAAGTAATAAGCTAATAGTATATTAGCTAGTACTTATAGAGTCTAAAGTTACCTAGCTTTAAGTAGCTAATATATAGAAAAAAAAGTATAATTTATATAAAAGAAAGTAGATTTAGAAAGAAGATACTTTTATAATTAAAGCTAGCTTATAGCTAGTTACTTAAAGAAAGACTATAAATTAGAATAAGAATAAGAAGTAGCGCGAAAAGGTAGTAGTATATAATAGCTAGCTAGCTTAGTAATACTATAGATACTATAGTAAGCTAGAGTATAATACGTAAACGTACTAGATAGTTAAAAATAATATAGATAAGTTAGATAGCTTATCTAGATTTATCTTAAGTAGCTTAGAGTTAGAGAAATCTAAATAAAATAGTAGCTTTTTAGTAGAGACTTAGTATTTTTAGAGAGTTTAATAATATAGAGAGTTTAATAATAAAGTACGTTAACGTACTTTATTATTAAACCGCCTATATTATCGAACCGCCCACGATTTCTTAGCAAGAAAAATTAATAAGAAATTTATAAGTTTTTCTTAAATAACTATACAAAAACTTAATATCTTTCTATAAAAATTAATATATATATTCTCTATAGTATATTACACCTTATAGAAAAGTTACACTAAGATATATTACGTAATTAAAAAGCTATACATATTTAACTAACTTTTAAGAAAAAATCTACTTTACTTCTAGTAAGTAGTATTATATCTCTATAATAATATATAAAACTTATAGTATATAGTATCTATAACGTAATAAAGGTTTCTAGAAAATTTCTATAGGGCTAGCTCTTCTAGGTATAGCGTAATAAGAGATAGAAGTTAGAAAAATATCTTCTTAGAGCTTTCTTCTTCTAACTATATATATATTATTAATCTAGCTCTATAAACTTATTATTTTATATATTATAGTTAGTTTTAACTATATACAGCTTATTAGCTAATAATATACTAGCTCTAAGTAGTTATTTAAAAGTAAAGCCTATTTAGTAGTATAGTATAAAAAGATAGAAAGAGACTAAAACTATCTTAAAATTATTACTTCTAAATATCTAGCAGGCTTATAGTATATATAATCTTATAATATATAACTTTATATAGCTAGATTATTTATATATATCTATAGTTAGAGAAGAAAACTCTAGAAACATTTTTTTAAACTTCTACCTCTTATTACGCTATACCTAGAAGAGCTAGCTCTATAGAAGTTTTCTAGAAACCTTTATTATATTATAGAGACTATATACTATAAGTTTTATATATTATTATAGAGATATAATACTACTTACTAGAAGTAAAGTAGAGTTTTTCTTAAAAGTTAGTTATATACGTATAGCTTTTTAATTACGTACTATATCTTAGTGCAACTTTTCTATAAGGTGTAATATACTATAGAGAATATATATATAAATTTTTATAGAAAAATATTAAGATTTCGCTTAGTTATTTAAGAAAAACGAGTTAATTTTCGTTGATTTTCGTTGCCAAGAAATCGTGGGCGGTTCGATAATATAGGCGGTTCGATAATAAAGTACGTTATAGCTTTTTAATTATATAATATATCTTAGTATAACTTTAGTATAAGGTATAATATACTATAAAGAATATATATCTAAATTTTTATAGAAAAGTATTAAGGTTTTACTTAGTTATTTAAGAAAAACCTATTAATTTTTATTAATTTTTCTTACTAAGAAATTATAGAGTATTTAGTAATATAGAGTATTTAGTAGTAAAGTATATTATATTAAAAAACTAAATTTATCTAGAAGATTCTCTACTTTTAAGTATATTCTAGTTTCTAGAGTAGATTAGCTAGATTCTATAATAGTTTAACTTAGCTTTAACTTAGTATTTTAGCCTAACTTAGCTTCGTCTAAGTTATATAACTCTATCTAGTATCTTAGTATAGATACTCTATATATAGAAAGCTCTTAAAGTATTCTTTTACTTCTTATCTTTAGATAGCTAAATTTAACCTAACCTACTCTACTTATTACTTTTATTCTTATAGCTTATAGAGACTATAGTACCTATAATTAACTTATCTAGCTAGGTATTCTAGAGCTTAACGTATAGTAGTAAAGACCGCGAAGCTAGTTTTTATAGATTCTATAGATTAGCTCTTATTAGTAAACTACGCTCTAATTTACTAGATTTATTTAATCTTATTACGTAAGTCTAATTTATTCTATAACTTTACGTAACCTTACGTAACTGCTATAATAGTTTAGTTTAGAGATTTACCTTAGGTTATATAATCTTAGGTTACGTAATTCTATTACGTAACCTAATCTAGCGCCTTAGCACTTAGCACCTCTATATATAGAGCCTCTTAGAGCCTTTTCTTAACTTCTTACCTTTAGATAGCTAAATTTAACCTAACCTACTCTACTAGCACCTCTTATTCTTATAGCTTGTAGAGACAGCGCTATCTATAGCTAACTTACCTAGCTAGGTGTTCTAGAGGCGCTTATAGTAGTAGA